ATTAACAATCACTGCTCCAGTCTTCAAAGCAAAGTCTTTAATATTTCTAGCTGTTTGACCACTGAGAATCAATGGCATCAAGGTAAAGGGTGTATTCAAGACAGGGGTCTCCAGGGAATTTGGTAGCAGTTGGCTTCAAAATTCTTTGGAACAAAAGTTCACCAGGCCAGAAATAACACTATCCAGGAAATGTCCCTGCGCAACCTTGTTGCTATGAAAGAAATAATATCCCTTGAGTTTAAAGGGACTTCCTGCCAGAAAGGAAAATATAGGTTTGCATCATTAATGATGTCTACCTCCAATTTAACTCGAGCAGCTACAGTTATTCAGGTAAAACTACAGCTAGGCATGGTCAAAGGTTGCTTCTATTGTGTAGCTCTATTGTAATCTATATGTGGCATCCTGTGTGTACATGTGTCAATTTCTGCTTAGGAGATTTAAATCTCTAGTTATGAATAGGGTACAAACAAGACAAAATTTTTCTCCTTTGCTAGTAAAATTAGGAACTTATTTCATTCTTAAGCTTGGAAGATTTACTCTTAGGTTGACCATTATAATAGAAAGAAAAATCCATTTAGAAGGCATGGCAGAAATTGCAGTTGCGCAATCCACAGAACAATAGCTCACCCAATTGTTCGGTAGATTACACAACTGCAATTTCTGCCATGCCTTCTAAATGGATAAAAGCTGCCACTTCCTTTCTGCTCCATCCCCCATATTCCACATAGTCTATCTCTTCTTTTCTTAATTTTAAAAAAAAATCCCTGTGTTATTTTGTATTTATTCATTGATTTCTTATAGAGGATTTTGATGTCTTTGGGCCAGTTACTCTCTCAGCTGAACCCACCTCCATGGGTAGCCTTGTCTAGCAAAATGGGACAAGGGAGGACTCTTGACACTGCTGTGAACTGAAGGAAAAGTGGGATAAAAATAAACAAATAAGTAAATAAATACACAAAATTGCTTTTTTAAAAGGGAACTTTTTAGCCCAAAACAGCTTCTAGAATTGAATGAGAGGTTTCACAGTGATAATAGTGCTGTCAGACCATCAAGAGTTGAGGTTGTTGTCTGTGTGGTCCTCCGTATGTTTTATCTTTTGTTTTAGCCAATGCAAGAGAGGAAACTGTTTATCAAGCTGTCTGCCCTCTGTATATTCTCTGCATTCCTGGCATGGCTCTAAACCAGAAGGAAACAGGCCCAACATAGCTACTCAGGCAGAAACAGGCATGTTGCTTCTTTTCAGAACTTCTGCACGTCTGCATGGCAGGTCTCTGAACTATGTGTCTCCAAAGGAGGTTTGCTCAAAGGAAGCCTGGCAGTCATCTTTTTTTCAAGGGGGTTGACCAATCTATTACCTCCACATTTGCATGCTGATTTCTCTTATTCCAGGCTATAATAAATAATGTCTCTTACAAATCAAGCTCCTGGTGACCTCATGAACATGTCCATGTCATTTTCCTGGCAACAACATGAATGTAGTTTGGCATAGTCTTCTTCCATGTTTTGGTTTGGTTTGATTTTTTTCTCTTTATCACCTAGTCTAGCCCCCAGCTCTGAGATTTTCTGATGGCTTCCCCTCCCCTCCAACTAGTAATCTAGTACACCCCTACCTAGCTTTTTGAGGTCAGCCAAGGTCAGCCTAATATTGGACAATCCAGTGCCATCTATGGTGGTTGGCTAGTGGACTTCAGGATTTCCCAGATCTTCCTCGATATTCCAAGGATTGAATTTGGGACTTTGGGGATTCTTGGTCATGAGAAGTGGCATTTTTATAAATACCTATAAAACTGGTAAGGGAAAGACAGGGTATTTGCAACTTACGACACCCACTTATTTTTAATGTGTTCATAATGTATGCACTCCTTTATGTTCCTGTATGTTTATTCTATGGGGTCCTCAACAGAAGAGAAAAAAATATTAGATTAATACATTCCAAAGTTTAACATTAAACCATATCAATGTTAAAGTAGAAATTCAATCCAATGGCAATACAACCAAAGTCAAAGTCAAAGTCAAAGTCATCTTTATTGTCATTGTACTACTCATACAACGAAATTAAATGCCACCCCAGTGCAGCTTAAAAATATAAAAACCATAGAACACATAACACACATAAAACACATAAAACACAT